TTTTTAAAAAAATATCTGGACGTGATTAAGGAATAAAACCACACATAACTTACAATAATCCTTCCTTGTATTATTAGATACAACGTAAGGTTATATAATCTTTCCTCAATTAGCTAAAATATTTTTGACATAATATAAAGAGAAATAATAATAACAGTCTCTATGTCCATCATCTTTTCAGCTTGTCTTCTGCCTGACTTTAGATTTATGAAAAATGTTAGATATGGCCAGTAGGATAAAGTTTATCAACGACTATCAAGGTTTAAAACAATGCATAATATAATTAATGAACGGATAAATGTAGGAATAGGGCAAAGTAATGAATTAATTAAATAAATAAATTTCAGCACATATTGATCATATCAATTCGTCAATTTTCTGGTCCACGCATGAACTGCCTTCAGAGAAAAACTTTGGGGTCTTGCACCATAGGGAACCCAATGCCCTTCTTACATTTTTGGGAACACTAATACCTAGAATTTTGTGGTGCCACACAGATTGCCACGACAATCGATATTACTAACCAATGAACCCAATGACTAGTAGGAATCCTGTGAATTTTCGCAAGAACCACGCATCTACTAACCCTCTGCCTTCGATTATGTGCATCCATAGTAATTTCCTTATAAAGTCATATCGTATTCAGACCCAACAACAAGTAAAGAAATCAAACATTATGCAACGTGGTTTCACAAGATAATTAGGGTCTCGATATAAATAAAAATATAACATGTGGATGATTACGATTTATTTATAAAACCCTAGTTTGACCCCTATGATTAAAGTGGTATAACAATACATTATATACAAAAAATAGATTTGATATGAAACCCTCAAAGATAAAAGAAACCCTACGTTTGACTTGACCTTTACTCGATACCGTGTACTGTGACAAAACAACTAAAATAATATTTTAGAATAATAATAGGTAATAAGAGCTTTGTTAAGTTAAAATAATTTTTTTGAAATAACTAACGAAAAATAATAATACTTAAATTTAATCAAAAAATATTTAATGAGGATCAAATTTAAGTGACTCGAATCTATAGAATTTCTAAATAATAAAAAAATCTTACCCAAATATTTTGATCGCAAAAGCGAATTTTTAGGTCAACAAAATTTTGACCCATTTTATTTCTTTCCTCTCTTTCTCCCTTCCTTTCTTCCTCTCTCTTTCTTTCTCCCTTCCTTTCTTCTCTTTGGTGCGTTGTTTGAAGGGCCAAAGGTAGGCTATCTATAGCCAAAGCTTTGGCTTCCAATATCATGGCTGAGACCATTTTCCTTGCATCACATGGACAAGTGTCCATTTCTATGCCATTTTTTTTGTTGCACATTTTACATTTGTTTTACTATGTAAATCCTCTTAACACTTATATATATATATTATTTATAGATATATTTATTCATTATATTATTACGAACTTGACCTAAATTATAGTCATTTGACTTGTTTTCACGTGAAGAGTCTATATTTGAGGTCCATTTGTTAATTTGAAATTTTTGAAAATAATCTTTAATTATATAGAATCATAATTGATAACCTAATTAGCGTGTCAATGAATAATTTATATACGGATCGTCACACAGGCATTGGACATTGTCTGCTGAGTGCTAGGGCGTTGTCCGTTGGGCGCTGGGTGCTGAGGGGCGCTGGGCCTGGGAGCCACTAGGCATGGACGCCCAGGCCTGTGCTGGCCTTGGCCTTGGCCCGGGAGACACTAGACAAGGTCTTCCCTTGGCCTAGGCGCCGCCATGGGCGCTGTTCTTAGCATGGGCAACAACGTTAGGGAGAAGGGCTCTGCGACTAGGGAAAATCAGCTGGACGGTGGCACCAAGCTCTAGGGCGATCAATTGAGTGGTTGAGAATTAGAAAACCATGATGAAGCCGCAGAACTTTGAACACCATAACGTTGTGCTTGGTTGTCTGTTTGAGGTGAATTTTTTTTTTTTTGAATTCAAATATTTTTTCGAGATCTACACATACAAACAGCCGAAGGCGGTTTGAGTACCAAATTTCTCCAAAAAATACTTCTTTCTCACAGAATTTGAGTTTTTAACCCTAAATTAGTGAAAAAGTAGATTTTGCGTATGTCTACTTTTTGCCGATGGTGGCGGAACCTCATCATGATGTGGCAGGTCATCTGCTGCTTGGTGATTCATAGATATGGTTGTTCTTGCCATTGGAGGTAGGAAGACTATAAGGAGAGAATCCAATCGCTTCCCATAGATGGTGTCAAACTGATGATGCACAAATTGGTTTTGCATACCACTTGGATGTGTAATTAATGCAGATAATAAAAGAGATAGAGAAAATTCAACACAATCAACACATAGTTTAAGTGGTTCAGTCAAGGTGACCTACTCCATTGTGAAAGACTAAGATGAATTGGGTGTTTTATTGTTGTAGAAGTGTAAGGAGATCAAATGGGAGTAATGAGAGCTCATATGGGATCAATGAGAGCTCAGGTGAGAGCAATGAGAGTGATGGCTGTGATCTCTTGTGTTAGATGCCCCCCATTTGTAGGTGGGACTTACATTTTATAGCCGTTTCCTAACATATTGAGGCGGCTTATCAGTAACTAAAATACTAATTTGGTGGAGGGGATGTCATTTTTGCAACAGATGAGGCTGTTGCGAGGCTCTCCTCAAGACCATGTCGTAGGATTACGTGGTTGACCTCCTTACTCCTTACTCCAAGGTGGCATGGATGAGGCTCGTGAGATAACACTGCCTACTCCTTAATGACATGTCTCTTGGAGCCTTGATGAGTTTGACTAGGAGTGAATCTCTTTTAGATTGGACCCATTAGGTTTCGTATAGGTGGATCCTTTATTCAAGTTGGGCCCACAACCTAAGTTGGGTCTTGTTCCGGGCCCATCGACGGTAATGGTGGTGATGGTGGTGGTTGTTCTGATAGAGGTGGTGGTTGGGTGTTGATGATGGTGGTGAGGTGGCAGCGATGATGGTAGTGGTGGCGGTGTTGGGGCGGTTTGAAACAGTACTTTTTTTTAAAGTACTTATTGTAAGTATAAGTTGTAGAAACACTTTTAAAAAATTATTCCAAACACATCTTTGAGGGCCTATTTTTTTTATTAAATTTGAGGTGTTAATATTAGCCGTTGGATTAACTATAAAATTTTGATAAAAAAAAATTAACTTTAAAATAAAATTTAAAGAGATTTCAATCGCGAAAAATAAAAGTTATTTTGTTTATTTTTTTAAAGTTTGCATTGTATTATACTTTATTATATAGATTAGTCTTATTCAATTCATTACCTAACAATTTGCTGCAACTTTTCTTTTCACGAACAAAACCTCTAGGGAAAATTACATCCAGAGCCTTGAGGTCTTTGAATGCATAAAATCAATTGTACAAATATATAATACCCAAAAGTCGGTGAATGTTCTTCGCAAGATAAACCATTAATGGATAATCAAGAATGTCAAATTTGATTTGGAGAAGTGGGTTCATCGAATTGTGAAGTTTGATGAGAAATTCATTTACTCCTAAATTGAAAAGTTTTTTTTTTTTTGTTTGATTTTGTATGTACAACAATGGATCTAAGCCATTAATTTATTGTAATGGGAAAGAGAAGAAAAAAAAGTAATTTATTAGACATAATAATCTAACCTGATTGACTGACATAATTAACTAGTGTCATTAGATTAATAGTGAATCTTTTCCAGGAATGTGATTTATTGTGCATATAATTAAAATAATACGTTAATTTAGCAAATTATGTTAAAATATTAGGAACAAATTCTATATTTTGAAATTTTTTTTCCTGTACTTTCAAAATGGCAAAATCAAATCAATATATTATGTCATTGTTTCCCATATCAAAGTTACAACCTACTTTGTTCCCCCAACTAGAGGCAACAGGGTCCATTAATTCAAATCAAACTGCACTGTACTGTGGGCACCATAAAATGATACACAGTGGTATTTGGTGCACGGGTTTGATTACTCTATCGGAAAAAAATTTGGTATTGTATATTTATCATCTTTTTAGATATTTTACTACTTTTGGGTGAAACTTACTGATTTTTGAGGTGCACTTGTTTTATTGGATTTAGTTAGCACTTCTTTGGATGAAACTTAGAATTTTTTGGTTTTTTTTTTTTAACTTTTTTGGTATGGTACTGAAAATTAAAAAATGGGTACCGTAATTATTAACCAGAATCACTCAATGTAGCCAAATTTTTTTTTTTTCGCCATAGCCCCATGTTTCTTCAGAAAAAAAAAAAAATTACAAAAGCCAAATAGTCCCACTACAATTTGGTTTCTTCAATTATGGCATTCATTGCCTTGACATATTCCTTAATTTGGAGTATTCAATCGAGCTTTAACCTTTTCCTTAATAGTCTTGCATGAAAACTCCGTTGCCTGTTTAGAGAAATACAACTCAACCCTACCCTCCCCTCCCCCACACAAAAAGAAAATAAAAAATTAGTCTATTCCATTTTTTAAACATGGACTTTTTACATGTTGTATTTAAAAGATGTCTCGTTTTCATTTGCGTCCTACTATATATATATAATATATATATATATTACACCATGAATGTCATAAATTGGTTTTAATGTGGATTCAGACTAACATTTATTTTAAATTTTGTTAAAATTTAATGCACATATCTGAAATCTGAAACAAATAAGAATCATATTAAAATCAATTTATAATATTCAAGGTATAAAGTAAAAAAAATAAAATTTTATAATATAAAATAAAAATCAAGATATCTTTCAAGGTAAAAAGTGCAAAACATTGCAACTTTCACTCTAGTTGTAAGTGGCCCATTCCAAGACAAGACCTTGCCGTAGGGAAAAAATTAATCAACAGCGACATAGATTTGACTATTAAAAATAGTCTTGAATAAAAACTGTACACCTCATCCTACCCAAAGTGATGGAGGGGGCTCCTGAATTGACCCTTTTTTTCAAGTAGTCCATTCGGATCGTGTAGAATCTACAAAGCGAAGAAAAACAAAGAAAATCATTCAACTTTTTAAAGCCAAAATCTCAATTCTGCAACAAGGGCAGTGAGCATTGGTCTCTAGCCATGGCACCAGACATCTTGAATGGAACCGATGGGAGCAGGGCAAACACACCAGGGTCTCACCCACCTTGAACTGCTCCAAGCACACTGCGCACTCCTCTTGGTCCATGGCCTTCTTTTTCTGCCCAAACTTTGCCCAACTGAACCTCCTCATGCCTCTCTTCTTCACTCCAAACACTTCTATTTTCAAATCCCCTACCGCCATAGACCTGCCCTCCCCACCCTTTAATCTCTCTTGCCTGTTAGTGCTGAACTCAATCATAAGTGAAAATCATAAATATTAGCTTTTTTTTTTTTTTGAACTGGTAGCAAATATAAGATGATAAAGACGATAATTTCGAGTGTTCATTATTTATATTCTCTCATAATTAAAAAAAATAAAAATCAAGAAGGCACATGGTAGGAAGGGTTTCTAAAATTTATGGAAGATTGGTAACATGATTTGGTAATTGTTTTTCTTGACTGTTATAATCATAAACGGGTTGGATTTGTTATACCCGTTTGAAAAATGGATTAATATTAATCTAGTTAAACATGGTTTATATATGATAAGAAACAATTACGATTATAAAAGACCATAAATGATTTGGAAGAGACATGCAAATTTTGATATGACAATTTATGCAACTTATACATGTAACATATACGACATGATTCATTACCAATTCTACTAAATGCGGTTGGCATGCAACACAAAGGGGAAAAAAAAATCACACTTACCTTTTGGTTTCAGATTTCCTTTGTGCTTTTAGCCTCTCATCTAATCTTTCCTTGGCTTCTCTAGCCACTTCTGTTAGTTTCTCATTCAGATATTCCTGGTTCAGTGTGATTCTTTGCTGTTTGTAACATTCAAACAAATTTTAGTAACACACATTCACATACATGTAGATCTATGTAGAGAGAGAGAGAGATGTGATTTGTTATACTACCATGGAAGAAAATGAGCTGCGATGGACTTCATGGTTGGTTGTGTACAAACAAAAAGATGACCGCCTTGAGGAGGCATGGGCTGCAGACGTAGTAGGTGAATCTGAAAAAGCACCGCTCTGATGAAACCGTCTTCTTCTAGCACATTCAACCCCGGCAAGCATAGCAGCCATTTTGACAAAGAAAAACTGTATGTGTATAGCTTCTATATATATGATTCATCTGTATAGTTCTTGCCTTCCTCATGCAAAGCTTGCCCGAGATAAAGAAAAAAAAATTTCAAAATATTCAAGAATAGAGTTAGACACTCCTTCAAGTATTTTGGTAATCGGAGGAAAATACCCCAGAAAAAACAAGGGCTCTTCCCAGAAGTTTCATGGAAAACTCAAGAGAAATTTCCTGGAAAAAGTGATTGAATCCAATAGGACTATTAGAGAAAATTGAAGGGTAGGTAGCAACTAGAGACATTGACGGCCATTTCTGATTAGTTATGCAGCTTTTTGCCATCAGTTTCAGGCTTTCAACTTGAAATTTTCTCTCTACTTAATTATATATTGGTTGAATAAAAGTGAGGGAAATTTGACTAAGGGACCAGTGGGTAAGAGTTGGGTTGATAATAAATCCCATCCCGCCAGAGTTATTTTATGTTAAAATTTGTTGAATCTATATTTAATTTATTACATGTTGTCGTACATTTATCAAATTTATATTCATATTGTATATGATTAGACTCATGTTATGTGTAATTGAGTCATTATTGAACCATGCCATTAAATAAGTCTGATTGGGTGATTCCCCTTCATATTGAACCATCGCACAAATGGGCCAGATTGGCAGATTTGGTTATGATCTGCACACTAAAAAATTAGAAAAAATTACATCTAGACGCTCTGAATTTTGTCACTTAATTATCTAAATATTTTAATATTTAAAATATTACACACAAATTCTCTAAGGTTTGTACGTGCATAACACATACTTTTCTCAAGCATATATAAATTTTTTTTTATCTTGATTTATTAGTTTTAGAGGACACTTGATGGATCCTCTTAGTTTATCCTTCATATGACCAACCTGTGGTATGTATAGCCTCAAGCTCGGGGTTATAGCTCCTTGAAGGTGGTTGTTTTCAATGACTTTCAAAATTACTCTGGTCAAGTACTGTCTGACTTTTGGTATCTTTTCTCTAGGTTAAGTTTTGAAAGTAGCATTGCTAATTTACACATGTGATGCAATTTTTATCTGTGGCGTACTTATTTTACTAATCAGTATTGTAATGGGGATGCCCATAAAATGTTTATTTTGTTGTTTATGCTTGAAATTATCAAAGAGTAGTTAGGAATGATAAATGGGTGCACGAAATAATCATTTCGGAGTTAAGCTGATTTAAAACAAAATACATCTCCGGTGTTGACATGGTTGATGAGAAAATGTGCATTAACTTTAGAAACTGAGTTTACTACTAAATCCTCTTTGTTAGTTGTGATAGAAACTTGATGATGATTAGAAATTTCAGTCTCTAAACATAAAAAAAACCTTCAAGGCGGTGTTTTTTTTTTTTTTGCCATGTTGAAGTATCTTTGGTGGTTTTTACTGTTGATTCTACTCCAAAGTGTTGTAGTGATGGTTCAAATTACATAAGTTGTTATGGGTTTGACTTTGATCAATAAAACTCTACAATAAGATATATGTTTGTATATTAGCTGCTATTTCATTCTTATTTTTCTGTTGATTGGTGACCTTTTGTCCAAAATGAGGTGAGTTATGTGTTATCTAAATTTTGATTTGCATATGCGAAATTTCAAGATTATTGCGTCATAGGTTAGCTTATTTTAAGTTGAAATTAAAATTTGAATAGGTGGTTTTTGCATTATTTTTGAGCATATAAGTTTAAGCAGGCACGTGAAATATGTGTCTCCCATTTTTGGAGAATGGTGAGTGGTCTACAGTTAAATGTGTTTGAACTTTGTTGATTTTGTTTATTATATTTTCGTTGCTTTTCTATTATGATGTTGCGGTAGTTAGTACATGGTAGTAATAAGACAAAACTGTGGCTTGATGTTGAGTTCAATAATCGATTAGTGTTGTAGAATAATCAAGTATGTATCAGTTACTAGGCTTCTAGGATGTTGTTACAAGATACATAGACCGTGTATACAGGTTGAAATAGTTTTGGGATCCTATTTTTAGAGAAATTATGCTTATATTTTTATGAATTTATATGCTTAGGAAAATTGAATATATATACCCTATGTCTCTCTCAAGACGATTATTCTATAGTTAAGAATTGATACATGAATTTTGATGCGTAGATTATATATCCCATGATTACCTCAACGACTTGAGCAATATTCATATGATTTTGAATAAAATGAATACATGTAAAGCTTTTGTCAATGGCCATTTTTACCAAACTTTTTTAAGTTGCATTGGATTTGTTTGCTTAAAGTAGAGCTAAACGTTGTTGTGGATGTTGAAATAGTGGTTGCTTCTAATGAAGGGAAGAGTATGTTTTGCACATAAGTTAGTTCCAAATTTGGGCGTGATTTCTTTTGATAATGATGCAAAAATTGTGGTTGATAATGTGCCAAGTTTATTTAAAGATCACATTGAGGTTTTGCCCCGGATGAGATAATTACAATCTAATTTCCGAGTGTAGCATACCTGTATGTTGTCAGGTTTTACAAAGTTTGAATGATTATCGTCCTCTTTTTGCTTTGAGGCGATTTCAATTCTTGAGTTTTTTTGTTATATAATGCCTTTGGCAAGTGTGTGTTGCAATAAAATACGATAATGCCTCAAATTGCTCATGACATGAGAAAGAACTCTCCAAATTGCTCATGACATGAGAAAGAACTCTACAATTTTAATTTCCAAATTTGTTTTAATTAGGCGTAATTGTTGCTTTAGGGGTAATTTAGTCTTCTTATTATGAAGGGTCATTTAACTCTTAATTATTATTATTTTTTTGAATGGACTTAAAAAGCCTAATAATAAGACTCCAAAGGAGGTCTGGCTTCTAAAAATCCCATCTTATAAGATACACAAGTCCATCTATTGCTATTGGTCAAAATCCAGTGGACTCAATGTCCCAATTAACTTGGTCATGCATCAAAACAAGAAGATTTAGGAGTAGTAGGTGTGGAATTTGGCTAAAATTCCAACTAAATCTTGAAGCTTCTCTCTTTTCAATTGTTTCTAAACTAATTTTTTCAGTTTACTAGTTTCAAACGCCCTTTTCCACACGTAAACTGTATCAATCACATATTGTCCTCAATTGGGCCTCTAAAAGAGCACGTTTTGTTCTTTGCAAGTTTCCAATATCTTTGCCTAAAAGTTTCCTACGCCTTTAGATTACTTAGGCTGAGGTTGGTCAGTTGGTAAAGTGTTTGATAGAAGTGCACCAAAACCTATTGCCATTAATCCAAGTTCATAATTGTAGAAACTTGTATATATCGTGAAGTATTCAACCCGACAGAAATTAACTTGGTTAGGAATTTACTTTATAAAATTTGAAACAAGTATATTCTTAGCGTATATGTGAAACGGATGAAGTTTATGATAAGTTGGGTGCTTAGAAAGCTCAAGTATCTCTTAATTAGGTAGACAAATAATTGGCTCGGTTGAAGTCCTAGTTTATATATCCAAAATTCGGAGCACTCCCAAAGTAAAAAATAAAAACAAAAAAAATGCAAAAAAATCAAATTAGGAGAGTGCCCAGAGATGAAAAATAAGCGATTCCCAAAACTGGGTTGGATTCAGAATAGTTACTAAAAATTCCCTATATAGTACAAATCCTAATTTTATTTGATAGTCAAAAGTCGTTTTAACCATATGTTTTATAAACTTGTGGCTATGATACAAACTTTTATGTTCCCAAATCTAAAACCCTTATTTAGATGAACAAAAAAAACAAAGTTTCTTGCTTGATTAATTTGAACTTGGACAAAAGCCAGTAGACCTGGTAAGAAATTACTAAAATTACATCATACACAACTTCACACACAACACAACAAAAGGAATATAAGTGAAAAATGTTCGACATAGATCTGAATCAAACCAAGATTGTTAGTGTCAATATGTTCAAGTTTGACTTAGTTATGACTCGCCGAGCTCGAGCTTAGGCCCAAGTTTGAAGGTGGAATTTAAGAAAAACTTATAAGCTCTTAATTTTTTCAGCAAATACTTCAAAAAACCAAACTCTAAAACCCAATGATTAATCCTAATTTAATCAATTTCTGAATAAGAAACCTATTAGAAGCTGTATGGTTACTCTTAAAGTCAAATCTTTGACACAGTAAAAATAAAATCAAAGCTTATAAGTTTAAATCTCCCAAAAAATTATCTGAGAAGAGAGTGAGAAAAATGTGTATATGAACTGAAGTTATTCAAAGATAAGTTTAAGATTATTTATATTTTAGAGTTTTTTGATTGTAAAATTAAAATTTTCTTAGAAAAAGAACTATTGTAGTCTATCAAAACTAATGATCCGTTTGGTAGGAAGGATGAAAAGTAGGAGAGATACACTTTTTATCTTTCAAGGAAGGAAAATATAAATTATACATTTTCCTTTCTTTGTGTTTGGTTGGATGGATGAAAAATAAAAATGACTATTTTTTTTTGTGTTGGCTAAAATTAGGGGTGATAATCGAGTCGTGTCAGATTCGTGTTGGGTCGGATCATTTTCAAGTTCGTGTCGAAATATAATCAAGTTTGTGTCATAAAATTTGTATCGAGTTCGAGTCAAGTCATCGTGTTGAGTCAAAAATTTTCACTCTTAGCTAAGATGGAAAAAATATTTTTTTTAATTTAAAATTTAAAATTTTATTTATTTTAATTTTTTAACAAAATGTATATGCATACATATTTTATCATTATATTTTTATATGAAATTAATGTATACATAATTAATATATATATATATATATATATATATATATATATCAAAAGATATATAGACAAATAAGATAATCTCAACACAAATAATTAATTTTTTATCCACTTTTCTTCCAATTTTATAGGGATTAATTTTGGTGAGTTGGAAGGAAAGTTAATTCATCAACTTTTTCATCATTCTTATTTTCCTTCCTTACCAAACATGATATTTTATTTATCCCTCTAACTTTCTATCCTTCCAATTTTTCATCATCCTATTTTTTCATTATACCAAACGGAGCATAAGTCAACTCTATTTGAGCCAAACTACATGTTATTGTTCACAATATGATTTCATAATTTTTTTTAATCAATTTGATTTATTTCTCAAAATTTATTTTTATAAACACACAAGAGGATACATGCATATTTTGAACATATTTTCTCCAACATCCGCAATAGTCCAAGAAGCCCAATAATTCCAAGTCCAAGCAGCACCTCTACAAAGACCTAATCTTTGGAGGAGTGGATGAGAATTTATTAAAAACTTATTAACCAACCTGAATTTCTTGTCGCAACTAATGTGGGATTTCATTTTTTTCATTTTTCATGAACACACAAAAAAATACAAGTATATTTTGAAGATATTTTACCCAATATGTATGTTTTAAATGGGAAAGGCTGTGGTACTGATGTGGTACGGTACCGAAAATTATAATTTTTTTGAAGTGCAAATTATAATTTATAAAGAGCATGATCGATCATGGAAAGTTGAAATCGATTTCAAAAGTTATAATTTTTAAATGTAAGTTACAATGCAAAAGTAAAAAGTGACAATTGTTCAAGAAAAACTTACGATGATTGTGGGTATTTGAGATCGATGATGGTCTTTCTTTGAATAGTTATAATTTTTTTTAAAAGGTGTAATTTTATCATAAAAAATTATAATTTCCGTTTGATACTAATTTTTTTTTTCCCGCAGTGTAGACTTTCCCCGTTTAAACAAAACTGATCAAGCTGAAACTCTGAAGCTAACCTCGAGTTGTTCGGATGGTTTAATTAAGCGCATTTATGGGCACGTGTACACACAAAGGCCACGCCATGTACTTCGTATATGACCCCCATAAGACACGGCATAAGATGCCGACTAACACGTTAACAACCGCCTTTGCATTGACTCATTCGTACTGTTTAGCTCCCAAAACGCGTGTTCTATATATACTTTATATGCCTTTCCACCCCATTCTCTCTCCTAAATTCACTATTTTGGAGAAAGGTGGTAAGGCTATGGCTGCAGGAGCAGCTGGAGATGGACTACTCCGGCGAGTATTTGAAGGATGCATCTCCGGCCACGACATGGGGATCGGAAGGCGGCCATATCATCGGAACTGCAGCTGTGCATTACATAAATCGAGCGGCCATTGCTCCCATACGTCGCCGTATACAAATGTGTGTTACCCCCTGAGACGGGCATGGAGTGAGAATTGCCTATCGTTGATGGCTCCTGTGCATTGCTCACCGTGTTCTTCGCCGGCTGGAGCTTCAGGAGAGACGGGGAGGACTCATTTGGTCTTGTGTTTGTCTAATGAAGAAGAGATTGATTCAAGTAATGTTTGATTTTCTTTTGTTTTTGAGAACAAGGATGAGATTGTAAAAGTATTTCAAGATCGAGAAGGTATCACGCACACTTCGAAATTTGTTTTACAGCCACGCGTATGGCATATTTGTTATGACGATTCTTGGTTGAAAAATTGTTATGATCTGTTTTTTTGTCAATTGACTATTGATTTTGTGAGAAAATATGAAAATCATGGCACAAGAGGGGATGAATCACCCTTGAGCCTCATTCTAAGAATCTGAGTTGACTGAGGAATATATTATTTGGGTCTCATCAATTACATTAAAAGTAAATTCCATCAAATATTATAAATTATAACTAATTTAATTATTGTATTTAATTAGATACAAATTACTTTACACATTGCTTTCAATGATTGTGTTTCCTCGATAGAGGAGATTTTTGACATGTGGGAAAGATCGTCTAGTACTACTTTTTAGAATTGTTTTTATTTTTATGTTTTTTTTAATCCTTTTTTAGCATTATTTATTTTCATAATTTTGTTTTCTTGTTTTTTTTTATCATTCAATCTTCATGTTCTACAAAATTAATGAATTATAGAATAGAAGATATCGGCTTATCGATTTGCCAGAAGTTTAAATTGTATTGGCTTTAGAAAGTTTATGTGTTATATCAAATTCATGACTATGAAGATTGGGAGTTGACGTTTGATGGGTTTGAGTGTGTGAGCATATTATTCTTATAACCTCGTAATGCAAGACTTGAAGCATGTAAAGTGTAGACCAATAAGAGTTCCATTTAAAAAAATAACATGATTTCAGTACTCCAAACAGAAAGGTAAAGAACTCTTTATCAAACTAAGCGTCAGGTGAAAGAGAGAATCCTTTATTATTTTTGTGTTTAGATATTATTATTTTTTTGTTTTAAATGATTATGTTTTTTGTTTTAGATGTTACTATTTTTTTTTTTGTTTTAATGTTACAATTTTTTGATTTGGATGTTACTATTTTTTACTATAGTATCATTCAACCTTATTATGAAAGAGAGAAATAGTCCTAATCTAGGAAAGATCTAAGAATAAGGAATTTTGAATTTAATTTAGTTTTTAAATTTGTTTTAATTAAATGTAACTGATGAGGCTTATTTTGGACAATAAAAATCAAAATAGACTTAAACCCAAAGAAAGATTTTGAGTGAACTTGTTGCCAAATAAGTTTGAAAAAAATGGACTGGTCCCCAATTTTTTCAATTTTATTTTGTGTCTGGGATAAATTTTTGGCCCAAATTATTTAACTAAGATTTTTTTGTTGGTTAAAATTTTAATTAAAACTTTTGTTGGATTCAATTTTTGAATATGAGAACATTTGTTTAGACTTATTTGAGAGAAAGTGTATGAATAAATTATTTATTCTATTAAGTTTAATTTTAATAAAACATCTTGTGATTAGATACAAAATTCAAATTACCTTTTATTTATTTTACTTACTTATCTTTCCTTAAATTATGTATAATTCTTATTCTTTCACTCTCCCTCCTCCCTATTTCTCACCCGTTACTCTCTCTCCCTCTCCCTTCTCCGTTACTCTCTCACTCTCTCTCCCCTATTTTTTTTCCTCTATCTCTTTCATTGATAATTTATTTTATTTTCAAATATGTAAAAATTTAATTTGATTTTTTCATCTCTTTCTCTACTATTTTTTATCTTTCTCTCATTCTATATCCCATATTTTCTCTCACCATTACTTTAAATTCTTATTCTCTCTCTTTATATTAATATTACAACAATATAATTATACAAATCAGTTACAATTACTATATAATATACTAAACAGTTACTCACATGTTCTGCTAAACTAAACAATTACACAAAATTACGACACGAACCTAATTCGTCATTCAGTTATTTACATAAACTAAAGAGTTACACAATTTAGTATCACGACATAGTCATATTAATTATATATACCAAATTGGTTTATTATTACACTAAAGAGTTTACCATTACACCAAATTTGGTGTATATAATTTGTACAATCATGTCATGATATCAAATGGTGTAACTCTTTGATTTATGTAAACAATTGAATGACAAATTGGGTTAATGTTGTAATTTTGTGTAATTATTTGGTGTAACTGTTTGGTTTATTATAACACATGAGTAACTATTTGGTATATTACAGAACAATTGTAACTAATTGGTGTAACTAATTGATGTAATTGTGTAGTTGATATAAGGAGAGAGAGAGAGAGAAAGAAAATAAGGAGAGAAAGAGCAACGATGAGAGAAAATAAGGAGAGAGAGTGAGGGAAAGAGAGAGAGAAAGAGGAAATGGGGAGGAAGAGATGAAAAAAATCAATCAAATATTTATATATTTGAAAAGAAAATAACTTACCAATGGGGTATAGAGAAAGAAAGAGAGAGATATATCAAATAGGGGATAGATAGAGAGAGTATTGAAGAGAGAGATAGAGAGAAAATAGGGAAGGGAGAGTGAGAGAGTAATGAAGTAATGAATGATCTTTTAGTCTTTTTTTCAAATACATGCACTTAGTACCAAATAAGTTTCTTATTGTAGTTTATCTCAATTAAGTCTAAATTTTGTACCGACTTCCAAATTTCTCCAATTTTTATGGTTCAAATTTTGATATGATCTATGTATTAAACCTATAGATTTGGGGCCTCTTTTTAAGTGCAAATTAGAACCAAATATAATATGGGATCTCTTTTGTAAATAGATCTAAGGGAAATCTTTTTAGGTTACTAAGGACACATGTTATGTACTTTTTTTTAAGTAGGTCCAATAGTTTATTTTCTTTTTATTTTTTTATTTCTTATTATGTCCTTCAATGCCATCATAGCCATGGCATCTTCAACCGAGCAAGACTTCGAGGCCCACAATCAAGGTGGTAGGCTGCAATGGTGTCGGAAAAGCTAGGTCACAAGTGGTGGTGGTGGCGACAATTAATTACTTAGGTGACAAGTGGTTGAGTTACATTACATTTTCTTAGAGCTTCCATAAACCAGAGCAAAGATATTGAAGGTAAACCCCAAAACTTTCTTGGGACTCCATTTGATGATCTCAAACGTAATAAAAA